ACAGAATATCGAGACTCTCTCTGCTTTTTCAAGTAAGGTGCACCTTGTAGGAACACACCTACAGTGTTTTATCACCATACAAAAATACCCCCGTCTTAACTAATACCACACTGACATTCACTGGCAAAACAAAGGGCTAGAAAGAAATTTCTTACAGACATTAAGTAACAGCTTTCACTGCCGACTGAGAAGAAGAAGAGCTGGAAAGTCTGCTTGGAAGAATGTCCTAAACAATGAGGAAACCCAGTGGGTACGTCCCTGGGTGCCGCAGGGTCGCAGCGCTGTCACTGTGCCCCTTGGCTGGACTGTCCTATCTGCCTGGGTGAGGAAAGAGGTGGAAAAGAAGGGAAGGAAGAAAGAAAAACTGCATTTAAACAAACAAATCAAAATACAATGACTACAGGGCTTCATCCACTGCATGGCTGTATGTTTGCAGAAATGGGTGGATGGGATACGGTCAAGCACACTGAGCATCTTTAATAAAAAATAACCCTCAAGGAAGTTCCATTTTCTGTACACTGAACTCTTTTGAAGATGCACCTGCCGAAATTACTCGTGTTGGGTGCTTGAAATCTCTCCACTTCTCCAAATTTAAAAAAGATTTGTTCCCAACACACCACACGTGACAGGGCAGAGCTGGGTCCCCCCTACTGCTGCTGACATGGCAGAAATGGAAGATCATCAACACTTTAGGGCATTTCCACCTTCTGCCTGCTGTCAGATCCACTTCCTTGACTGTTCCTTTTCTAATATTAGAGAACCAAAGCACAAATTTTCCATCAGCAATGTTGAAACCTCCAGCACAGTCTCTCAGAGCACACTAAGCTGCTTTAACAGCCAATTCCACCTTATCCCCCGATTTAACGAGCGCACCCTGAGTCCGGAACTCCCCTCTCCCACCCTGGACCACTCCTTGTTGGGTGGAGCACTTATTAGGCATCATTAGATGCCTAATTCACCCAATGAACACCTCCCATCATATGTTCAGCCCATGCCTCATCAAACTGAAAGCAGGAATTTTTATAATAAACTCTTTTCACATGACCAACTCCCAGTCTCCTAATTATTCCTGCCATGCTTTAAACTCCAGTTCACTCATATCCTGAATAATCCCCATGTCGTCCCCCAAACCACCCCCAAAGAAGGATTATCTCTCCCACAAGTCCTTGTTTTCAAGACCTCAGTCCAAAAACCTGAAGGAATTACCATAAAATTTTCTTTTCATTTCAGAGGGCTTTAAATCATTTTACTGCTTACAATGTGCACATATTTAAAATATCTTATGGACCTAAAATAAATGGGAAAACGTATTTTTCCATAGGTATGGTTAGAAAAACAGGCTCATGCTGCACAGCACAGAAGACACCTTTGAAACTAAGGTTTCAGTAATGCTGCAGTGCATGTGGTCTGGCTTTCTGCCCCACTCCTCCTTGCTGGCACTACGTGGCCTCCCACTCTCCCCTAAATATCCTCCACCCACCTTCTCCCCGTGGACACAAACTGTCCCCAGCGCTCACAGGAGTCCCTGCTGACTCATTTTTCCATTATTGTTCTGTGACAGTGATTTCCTTCAGGTAGGAGTAACAAATATCGAGTGTTGACATTTTACTCACAATTTCATCCCACAACAGTGACCAGTTTTCACTCGTGTCTACTCAAAAAAGACAAAGTATGCTGTGATGGCTTGCAAAGTGAGATATAAATACATATAGTTTCTTAATTTTCTAACTATAAAAATTGTTTTTCAAAGCATTTCCATCCCCAAATAAGTCTTTAGGCAGTTGATTCAGACTTCACAGGGATGATCCCTGCCCTTGCCATTCCAAGCACAGCTTCACACGTATCGCCCTGCAAAGACCACTTGAAAAAAATCACACATTGGCATCGTATATTCTCTTCTCAGGCACTATTTGCTGCAGGAAACACACATCATCAGGTCAATAGTTATATTTACTGACTTTCAGGTCATGATATTACCCAAGATATTGCCCCAGCTCTCAATGCTTTGCAGTTTGGCTGGTTCAATCCTACCATTTTTTGATTCCTTAAGAGCACAGAAGTGGAAAGCAGTTTTAGGTGGAAATCACAGCCTTTGGTTCCAGTAACAGAGACGCCGCGTAGGATGCCTTCCTGATTTTCTCTGGGATTCATTTCTCCAACTGGTCTGACAAGGCTCCAACTTACCCACGGGGAACCAACAGCCAGCAAAGCGTCTCCCAGGCTCTCCCTGGGGGTGCCTCTGCCAGGGCCAGGCTCTTGATGGCTTACACAGACACCTATTTGAATGGGTTTACATATTTTAACATCATTTTACATATCCCATGGTTCCTGTCCTCCTTTGGTTTTCCTCTCATCCCTCAAAGACTTTTGGAACTTAGAAAACCTGTAGAACTGTACTGTATCACAGAATCATGGAATCATGGAATATCCTGAGTTGGAGGAGACCCACAAGGATCATCGAGTCCAGCTCAGGGCCCTGCACAGGACATCCACCCCTTTCACCCTCAGCATCTCATTTCCATTCATTACACTGTGTTTTAGCTTAAATGTTGTCTAAATGAGCTACCAGGCTTTACAACACATTTAATTTCAGGCAAATTAAATTACCATTAGAGCAACAAGAAATTCAATTACACCATCAGGACAAGAACCACGGACTAGACCAAACTCTCACTTGAAGTAACACTCAGGATTTCCTGTCTCGAGGTTACTGATATTTGGGGCAGTCTGAGCGAGCACCCCAAAATGCACAAAGTCTGGTCTGGAGAGTGTTGCTGGCTGCTGCCTCTGAGTAGGGTGTGTGAGGCACATCCTTGGGCTTGTTGTCTCACAATCCCCCTCCCGAGCACTATAGACTGACAGTTCTGCTGACAAAAAACAGGTCCTCTCCCTTCCCTTTTTCCTGAGGACACCCCTGCATCATCTTTGGAGGAAAAGAACCCCAAAAGCTCCCAGCCCACCACAAAAACACACCTAAGCTTTACAAAGCCAGCTGAAAAACGTGCTGTTTATTCAACCTACAGCCTTACTGCTACAGCCTGCTTCCTGTTCCACCGAGGGGAGCTCAGCCCAGCTCACTCTGCACCTACCCCAAAGAGTGTCAGACAGATAAGCAAGGTCTGAGTCTTACAGACTCCAGCCTCGGCATCAGCAGTAGGTCTGGTGAGCTGGCTGCATTGCACTCTGTTTCGATTTAAGATGCTCTTCCTGATTCCTTTTCCTTCTCGGAAGTGCTAATTCACTGACAGTCTCTGTACAAAGTGGCTCATTAATTATTTTTCCAAGCAGGAGCTTAGAGTGGGGGATCCTCACTTACAGTAAGAACAGCAGACACGCCAGGGGATGAGCACAGTGCTTTCATTCCCTTTTCCACAGTGATTTGGCTTTCTCTCTTGCCTGTGCAGAGATGTGACAGGCAAACCAGAGCTGTGTCTGAAGAGCTGCCCAGCTCCCAGCGTGGCAAAGGCCCCCTCCCTGAGAGCTGAGGGAAGTTTCAGACACACACCCAGCCCCGCTTCACACGGAGGGATTTCCCAACCCTCCGGCACCAGCTCCCAGTTGTGATTCTAGATGATGTCCAGGGCAAGGACCTGCACGGTTTCCTCTTGCACAGCCGTGAAGAAGCCAACCAGCTCCCTGAATTTCCTGATATTTTTTTGCAGTAAGTAGTCATCAGCCTTTTCAGGCGCTCACAACTCAGGGACCAGAAACTTGAAACTATGGAAATGCAACTTTGGCTGCAGCATAGGGATAAGTGTAAAGAAAAATAGAAATCCATGGGGATCGCACCCTCATGGCTCTGATGGGACTGGAAACCACCCTCAACCAGGCAGGAACAAATGACAATACTGAGAGGGCACAATAGAAAAATCTCTCCATGTGACGCCGGTAGCTTTGCTGACTGCATTTTGGGTGGAAACCATTTAATAACTGGACATCTTTCCCACTATGGGAATCTCTTGAAAGACCCACTGTGATTTCAAAAGAGTCCTGACAGAGGAGCAGTTCAACATTTGCACTCCCTCTACACCACAAAAAAATCCCGGAGCAACAGAATCCCAGGACAAGCTGGGCTGTGGGCACCACCCAGGAGTCATCCTCCGGCCTGAATCCACGGGGTTTGATCTCCCAGTCCACAGCAGAGAGGACTCTGCAGGCTCCACATGCATAATACATGAAGTGCTGGAACTGGGCCTCCTTTTCTCATGCAAACTTTTACTTCACTTGTAAATCTCCAGCCTTAAAATTTGCTTTGTAAATACTCTACCTGCCCCCTTACCGATAAGCAGCACAGGTAGACAGGCAAGAGTAAGATGTATTTCATAGTTAACTATTCAAGTAACAAAAATACCCCCTAAAATACCGATTTATGCTCTTTTCCTTCATAGTTTAGTAGCCATAAGCGTAATTCAAAGTGGTTTTTTGTTTGTTTTCTCTTTCCTAACATTTTAATGGGATAAAGGAATGTCCTTAGACAATCTGAACAGTTTACCTAAATACTCAGCTACAGTGTTCCCACCGCCTGAAGCAAGCTTGGCAAAACTTCAGGCCATATGAATCACAGAATTCCAGAACACGCTGAGTTGGAAAGGACCCACGAGGATCATGGAGTCCAACTCTTAGCCCTGCACAGGACACCCCAAGAGTCACACCATGTGCCTGAGAGTGTATGGTCGGGATCTGATTTAGCCTGGCAGACCCCGGTGCCGCGGGAGCTGCCGGCGCTGGGGGATCGGGATCTGCTGTCACCGGAGCAGATTCAGCCGCATCGCTCCCTCGCTCCCTAAAGTTTTTACCGTCTATTTACAGTCCCTCCGCGGGAATGTTTAGTGCATCGCCGCTTAAGGAAGCGCTCCAAACTCCACCGGCCTCTAGGATCCAGCGCAAACCCCGCCGTGCCCGGCGCCGGGATGCGCGGGGATGCCCGGGAGCGCTCCCGGCGGCATTCCCGGCGGCATTCCCGGCGGCGGTGCCCCGCAGCCCCGCCGAGCCCCCCGTACCTCGGATGTAGGTGCACTTGCTGTCGTCCAGCGGCGCGGAGGCAGAGCCGCCCATGGTGCGGCGGAGCGGCAGCGGGAGCGGGAGCGGAGCGGCAGCAGCGGCGGCCCCGCAGCGCCCGCCCGGCCCGGCCCGGCCCGGCAGCACCGCCCCCTCGGCGGCACCGCCCCGCCCCGCCCGCCCGGGCTGCTCCGGACTGCGGGGATGTCAGCGCTGCCCCTGGGCTGCCGGGGACGTCAGCACTGCTCCCGGGCTGCTGGGGATGTCAGCGCTGCCCCTGGGCTGCCGGGGACGTCAGCGGTGCCCCTGGGCTGCCGGGGACGTCAGCACTGCCCCTGGGCTGCCGGGGATGTCAGCACTGCCCCTGGGCTGCCGAGGACATTCGCACTGCCCCTGGGCTGCCGAGGACATTCGCACTGCCCCTGGGCTGCCGGGGACATCAGCTCTGCCCTGGGCTGCCGGGATGTCAGCACTGCCCCTGGGCTGCCGGGGACATCAGCGCTGCCCCTGGGCTCCCGGGGACATCAGCGGTGTCCCGCCGCCCTCCGCCTGCGGACACGCGCGTCCCGCGGTTTGCTCTGCCCCCGCTGCTGCTTCCTCTTCCCACCGTCACTTTGTCACCCCCATCGCAAAATCCGCGTCCCCCCGGAGGCACGCACAGACCCTGCGAAGTTTCCATAGAGGCCGCTTTAAACACCAGGCCACGCTAAAGGCGGGTTGCCCAGAGAAGCTGTGGCTGCCCCATCCTTGGAAGTGTTCAAGGCCAGGTTGGACAGGGCTTGGAGCACCCTGGGCTAGTGGAAGGTGTCCCTGCCCACGGCTGGGGGCTTGGAATTGGATGACCTCTAAGATCCCTTCCAACCCAAAGCATTCTGGGATTCTAAGCTGAGGATGCTTGGAATGATTTTACTTTGTAAAGAAAACTAATTAACAAAGCCCATGGGATGCAGAGAGAGCACACGAGTCAACCACTGGCTGCCTCTCCCAACACAAAAGCTGGGATGCACCACATGGAGCTACAAACTGGTTTGTGTTTGAGGTTATTCCTGGAGGATCCATGACTGTATTGGTTGTGCTCTGGATGGGGCTTGGAGCAACCTGGGATACTGGAAAGTGTCCCTGTCTATGGCAGGCAGTAGAACGAGTTGGTCCTTAAGGTCCTTTCTGCCCCAAACCATTCCATGACTCGTAACTCAGCCTTCAGGGCCATATCTTCCCACTCTTACCAGGAATGCTGAATGTTGCTATAGAATGCACAATTCCAGGATGAAGGATAAACCTGCACAAGCAGGCACTAAAATACACATCAGTAAATATCAGTAAATACTGCCCAGTGATCGAGCCAACTTCCTAAAACATGCAAGAGCACCAGTGTGCAGATCCTCTCACAGGACAGCACAGAACAGATACCTGAATTTCCTTGCCTCTGAATAATAACTTCAGTGATGCTTTGGACCAGCTGTGACTTTTTAAGGTATAATCTTCTGTTCTGCTAATCCAACGATGGGCAGGGTGCCATCGTTATTGTGCCTCATATGTTTTGCATGGAGTTGATGAGCTGCAATGAATATGGATAGTGATGACACACTGGAGCTTCACAGTGATGGGAAGTTATGCATTTTAGCCTTGAACACTTTTCATTCAGCCTGCACACATCTGTCACTGGCTGTGAAATTGCTTCAGCAAAGTCGAGGTTTGCTTACGTGGGTTGTGGGGTCGGTACGTTTAGTGCTTTGCCACTCGGTTGATCACAGGATGGGTAAAAATCTTGGGGGTGAATCTTTTTAAACCAACACCAAACTTGATCAGGTTTGAAGTACTGAAGATGATATGTAAGGTCAAGTTCGGTGTTCTGCTAAAGAGCCTCCTTCCTTCTGAAACTCACACTCTCTGGGCACGGGATCGTTGTACCGAAGAGTAATGGAGCAATTAAGCAACTGCTTAATTACCTTGAGGAGACCAGGCTCACCCGGAGCACCCCTGAAACAGCGTCTCACAAGTCTATAGATTTCTCAGCTGAGATATAACACTCAATGCACAGCACTTCTAGAGGTCACCCGTGGATCAGGCTCTGTTAGGGACACATTTAATGGGCTCTGCCCAGAGCCCGCAGAGGAGGCTGCGGGGGTTTCCTCACCCCACATCTGGGAGCTCTGCGAGCAGACACCGAGGAGGAAACACCGTTTACTGCTGTGCATTTGAAAGGTGTCAACTCAGAGAATTCAGGCTCTGCTCAGTGTAGCATATCTTTTATCAAATGTGGCTGAGAAGCTATTCGTAACACACAGTCACGTGGAATGTGCAAGTCAAGCCCCAGGAGCCTGGAGAGAGAAACCGTGGAAAATTCATGAGCCATAAACTGGATTGCTATTCTGTCTCGTCATTTAGCAGATGAAAATATGCCAAATCCCAGAAGCTTTATACCCAAGAACAGATGTTGGCGTGTGCACTGAATGGGAAACTTCCCTGTCTAATTACAGCTAGGGTAACAACAAAGTGAGAACTCAATAGTTTACTTAATTATAACATTTATACTTGGTACTACCTGCTCCCCAAGATCCCCAAGCATCTCACAAACGTTAGCTAATTAAAGGCTGTAATTTCCCTTTCAAGATAAGGAAATGCTGTGTTTTAATGGCAAAGCTTGTGTCCTAAGCATCTTAAAAAGATACCATGAGAAACCTGAACCAAGTCAGGAACATATATAAATGACCCTATTTCTATCCTGCTTAAAAACAAACCCATCCTCTCTAGGATAAGAAATCCACGTTAGATTTTAGGCTGATATAACATCCACACTGCAGCTATCAATTATAAGGGAATACAATCAAAACAAAAATACCACCAGAACCAAGAAAAATACTTCCCCACATTTTCTCCTGTGAAATCCTGATCTTTGAGGGTTTTTTCCCCTTACTCTCCCTAAAAGTTCCTTCTTTAAACCCCTGTTTTGTATTATATCCGGAAGGTTGGATTGTATACTAAAGGGCAACGTGATGGAGCTCTGCCATCCCACAGAGAAAGTGAATTCCTGAGTGAGCAGGACCAGGAGAAGCACCTCCTGCCCACCAAAGGAATGAAATCTGTCTCCACTGCCTCTGTAACTTCACTTGTGGCAGTGTGACACCAGGAGAGAGGTCCAAGCTGCCTCAGGCTCTGGACCCACGAGGCACCAGTGAAAGCCCTGGGAGCTGTAGTACCCATGAAGTGCAGTCACAGCCACTACACTGCCTTATTTTGTGTTGGCCTCCAGCTCTGGTTCAGGAGGGAGGGAGAAGGAGGTTGTCTCCACAATCCCTTCTTCAATATCTCCCTGCAGAGGGACTGTAATGGAACCCTGATGTGCCCCAGACACGAGACCCACTCTCAACACCATGGGCACACCATGGAATGAACTCCAGTGGTTGTTGGTCTAACACACGGGCCTTAACCACAGCTCTGCTGACAGGTGCAAATGTATCATCGGGGGGACTGGGAAATCTTTGCCACCTTGTTGGCTACTTCTCCTTGTCTGATTGCAAATGAGACATGCCAAGGAACCAGTTTCTTTGACACGCTGCATAACAGCACTTGAGTGGGCCCTTTGCTTCAGAGGGAACTCTGTGTGTGCTCACACCCCCTGTGTGTGCTCACCCCCCCTCCCTGTGTGTGCCCACCCCCCCTGTGTGTGCTCTGCCACAGCCTCAGACACACAGTTTGTTAGCAAACAGAAGCACTTCAGTGAAATGTGTGTGAAATCCATTAGGAGAGATGATTAACTATCCAAAACTACCTTAGAAGATTTCCCCAAGGGAAAGGAGCCATTTTAAGCCCACTGATTTTGTAGGCAGGATAACAAGGTGCTGTTGACAGAGAGAGCTGCAAATGGAATAGAACTGTCCTGCATAAATAATAATTACCTACTGCTAGAGGAAACTGTTAATCATTATTGTCTGAAAGTCAAAATCAGGTTGCAGAGAGTAGTCTCAAGAAGATGTGTCACAAGATAAAAACAGCCCTTTTCTCAGGACAGGCTGTTGGCTGAAATATATTCTGAATCCTTTCTATCTAAGTAACACAAAAATGTTATCCTTAAGAGTTATTTTCAAAAGCTTGGAAGGAGGTCTTAAAATCGAGCTGCAGAAGATACTCCTAGAGAATCACAGCTGTTCAGGCTGGAGAACCAAAAATGACATTTTGATAAAATAGCCCTAAAGAGAAAGTTAGAGTTGGCTGTGTTTTAGCTACTACCCTGATTCTGAGGGACTGGCAAGAAGCACTGAGAACCCACAAACAGGAGAGTGGATTTTAATAGGTTCTTAATCACGGAGTCAGGCTGGAAGGAACCTCAAAAGATCATGTGGTCCAACCTCTCATGGGAGAGGGAGTCTAATGGGATTATCTAACACCTCATGCCATTGCATCCTGAGAACTTTCAGCAGCAGAGACTCCACCACACCCCTGGGGAGGTTGTTCCAGTGAACGGTTGTTCTTGCTATAAAGAATATCCCTCTTATATCAAGATGAAATGAAAGGTGTGGTGGGGTGGGGAGACAGTATATGAGGTGCTGCTTCATCTATGAACTGAATATTCTAGGGAAGAGATAAAAATGGCGTTTGTGGTCACTTATTAAAGAAAGAAATCAGATGAAACCTCTTATTTTTGTAAGTCCAGAAAGTATTGATGACAGTCTGAACTACTCGTGAAGGAAGAAAAGCAAGGCAAAGGTTCATTTCAATAGCAGATGGTGGTAAAATGATATAATTTTATCTCTATCT